CAAAGGTTTTTTAGTGTTCTGAAGATAGATTTGTCCCAGACTATCACCCATTGCTGTTTAAACACAATTAGGTTTTCCTACCCCACATGAAAACATCCTTTGTGATTTTTCTAAGAATATGAATGTAGTGCACATTGGTAATTCAAAATGACACATTAAATGTAGAGATAGGAACTGAAGAATAGTGATAAAAATTAAGAGAGTAGCCTTGAAATTGGGCAATATTGGGTTCCTATATCATGATCATCTTACAACTGTAATACTCAAGAACGTTTGTTAGTTTATCACTTTCCTCACCTGAGGAAATAAGGATAATAGTAAATTCAATATATATTTAGAAGAGTTAATTGAAATAATGTGTAAAATCCTTTTAACAAAATTTCGGCACATGGGAGTCCTTAAAAAGGACATTTTTTAGTGAACAGAAATACCTTAGGTTACGATTCTCAAGATCATCCCCAACTGTAATTCTATAAATAGTGTAAAGTGAATCAAATGCACTATTAAAAGATCAGGCTTTCTGATTTCTTGCAGTAGAGTTAGGAACATATAATATAGAAGTCATTACTGACCACCCAGTTCGTAACAGAACTCTGCAAAGCTTGATAGTACAACTTGTACAAAAATCATAGAAGAGAATGTTAAGCTCAATCCTCTGATTAAATTCATAATTCTTGTATAAAGAATAGTGCAGCTGTCAAATTTGTTCCTACAAATTTAATTATAGTACAGACAGTCTCTTGCTTATGATGGGTCGATTTGGGTAGTACAGACAGTCTCTTGCTTATGATGGGTTGATTTTTCAACTTTAGAAAGGGACTAAAGTGATATGCATGCAATAGAAACAATAGTTTGAATTTTCAGCTTTTCAGAGTAAACACTGCACAGTAAGAACCTCTCGCCTGATGGGGGAGGCAGTGGAGAACCAAAGCTTCCATCAGCCATGAGATCATAAGAGTAAATAAATGGTTCTTCATAGAATTCTGCTTACAATACTATGATGCCAGGTGTGCGAAGTGTATTAAATATATTTTTATTTCACAACATTTTCAATATTTAATGGATTTATCAGCTGCAACTGTATCATTAGTAAAGGAGTGTCTTTATCAAACTGTTAATGTACTGTTAATAGCTTTTTAATTTCTCTTCTCATTGTATGTATTTACTGTTTACAGCCTAAAGTTTTCATATACATATACACAATAAAGTGCTGACTACCTTCTGGAAAATTAGCACATCCCATAGTAGCCCACAGTTACTATGTATGTATGTGTGTGATGAATTTGTAGTATAGAGTGCAATAATACTAACTACTGTCCTCATGGTGTACATTAGATGTTATTCATATCACATAGTTGAAACTATGCATTATGACCTCCAAGTCCCAGATTTCTCCACTCCTGGTGGCCCCCTTTCTATGGTCTCTGTATTTGAGATTGTATTGAGTTATTTTAGCAGCTAATTTTTTTGTTAGTATATGTTTGCTGTATGTAATGCTTACATTTACCGTAGGGAAGTTTATCTTATCATTTATCTTTTATCTTGCTCTCTAAACTTTTTATATCCCAGGCTTCCCTATAGGAGAAACCATGCGGTATTTTCACTTCTGTGTCAGATTTATTTTACTTAGCATTATGGTCTCAAGGAGCATTCATATGTGAGTGAGACCATGGAACATTTCTTCTCTATTTCATTTAGCATTATGTCCCTAAACTCCATGTCATCACAAATAACAGGTTCTCCTTTCTTTAGGATGAGTAGTATTCCATTTGGGTGTGTACACATGTGTATGAGTGTGCATGTATGATAAAGCGATCATAATTTCTTTTTCTGTTGATTCACTAATAGACACTTTGGTTCTTTCTATTTCTTTGTTCTTATGAACAGTGCTGCAAATAATTTGGGTGTGCAGATATATTCATGAGGTGCTTATTTCAATTCCTTTATGTAAAAACACGGGAGAAAGATTTCTGGGTTATATGATAGTTATATTTTTAACTTCTTTGGAAAGCTCCACATTGTCTTTCACAGTGGTTTCACCAATCTACATTCTCACTAGTACTACAGAACTGTTCTCTATTTCTCTACACCCTTTCCAACACTTCTTGTCTTTTGATGAACACTATTCTAGCAAGTTAGAGATGCTAGCTCATGTAGTTTTCTATTTAAATTTTTCTGATTAGTGAGATTGAGCACATGTTGCTATATCTATTGGCCACTGTTATTTCTTCTTTGAAGAAATGTCTATTTAGATTTTTTCTTGGATTGCATTTCTTTTGTTTTTGATATTTAATTGTATGAGTTCTTCTATATTTTGCATATGAACCCTATTTTCTGATACGTGGTAGCCGATGCTTTTCCTAATTCATTGCTTGTCTCTTATTTTGTTTATTGTTCCCTTTCTTGCAAGGCAGCCTTTCAGATTTGCAATCTTACTGTATCCTTTAATGTGTTGCCAGATGGCTTTTGTAGACTATACAAAAAATCCTTGCCAAAACCAATATCAAGAAATTTTTCTCACTATGTTTTCTTGTAGGACTTTTCTAGGTTCAGATCTCATGCGTTATGTCTATCTATTTTGAGTTAAGTTTTCTGTACCAGAGGTAACAATCCAATTTCATGGTTTTGCATGTGAAAATCCAGCTTTCTCATCTTACTTATTAGATCTTCTTGATGGCCCTTTAAGTTTCACTATGGGTAGAAAAATTCAATGAACAGGGAAAGTTTTTGATATTTCAATTATCAGTTGTTAAACTTGTACCTATGTCCTCTTTAAATGAAAATTTTTTTGAAAACTGAAGATAAATATCATTCAGTTAGTCTAAACTTAATTATCACATGCCCTGACTTAAAGCCAAATCTGTTAAACTTACTATTATATGTCTAAACTACGTTAGTCAGTATAGTTTATATAATTATAGTTTAATGTATCATTAAACTTATTACAGAACAGAAAAATATTAATATAACTCATATATATATTTTCTACAAATTTAATTTACAAAGAAGTTTCCCAAGCATTCTCAAAAATAGGTTTTAACAATTACATTTCAAAGTTATTGAGCTCATAAAACATTCATGCAGAGTCAGGAAAAAGTTTATTTCAACATTTTTCTGTATATCTTCCAAGATATAATACTTAATTATTTCTCTTCGCTTACAGAAATCTTTAAATTCAGAAAAAATTAATCATACATTTTAGAAACCCTTTAGAAAGGGTTAAAATATGAGAATATGAACACAGTTTAAATTTAATGAATGAGCTATCTCACTGAGTTGTGATTAAATTAATGGATAACTAAAATTTTTAGGATAGATCCTGGTTCATAGTAATCACTCAATAAATATTAGCTGTATTTAAATTATTCTTATATGACTCTTCCAATATGCTTCCACTATCATGTTAGAAATATAAAGTTAAATCACATAAAAATACATACAAAATATTAAAATCTATAAAATATTAGCCTGTTTGCAACTCTTCCACTTAACATGAAACATTGCAGAAGCATTCTTTTGTTTTTCATTTATTTTTTTCAGAGTGATTAAGAACTTCCTCTTGTTCAAAGTTCTACCACTTTTCTTCACTTTCCTGGAATTATATTTTTAATTTTGTCCTCTCAATTTTAATATATTTTGGAAGTCTTAGGGCCTACTTTACTTCTACTTTTTCTATTTCTGTTTTTTCTGTGTCTAGTATCACTAATCCAAGAACCTTTAATTTGAGTGTTACAGAAGACTTTTCTGATTGACTATTGTATTTTCCTTTTTTACAACTTTTAAGTATTTTTTAAGGCTTCTCCTTCCTGTAGCTACCACTGATACTTACTAGACTCTGACAGCATATTCAGTTCATAGCTGTCTAGACAGCAGTTATGCACTAGAAAAGGCAAAGGAAGAAAACTTAGAGAACTGCACAAAAGAGTGAAAGACACACAAAGCTCTGGACCCATTCAATGTTGTCTCTATCTGAGGGCTGTTGTATAATTTTGTGTTGTTTTATACTCACATAACTACTGGTAAAATAAATATAAATCAGAAATACTACAGGGAATGATTTTCCAGGCACGCTAGGTTAAATTCGGGTTGACAGAAGTTTGCTGTATAGGGTAGAATCTTTACTTACAGGGGACTGTTGGGAAGATGAAATGTTAATGAATGTATTATTATAATTCTCCTGATCTGCTGTTCTTTCACTTTTAAATTACCACAAAGGGGGCTGTTCAGTGGGCCAAGAAGAGATGAGAAACCCGCAAACACCTCCACACAATAAAGCAGATGACAAATGTGCTTTGAATAGATTTCATAAGATCCAAGCAAAAATAACAGCTTTGAAAGTCCACACTTTACATCAAATGGAGGTCAAGGCCATGAAGTGAGAAGGAGGGAAGACTGACTGAGAACATGTGGGGATGTTATGGCTTGTGTCTAGACGTTCCCCGAAAGCCTCATGCGGTTACTGGACTTTTTCAGAGGCTGAATCTAAAGTGTATGATTGATTCAAAGTGTAATGCTGGGATTAAGAGTGCTGGAATTAAGGGTGATTGCTGCATCAGTCCACTGATTGGACTGGCAGCACCCAAATCCTACTAGACTGGATACTATATAAGAGACAGAAAGAGTCTAGTCTGTCTCTCCCTTGGTTACTTGCTTTTGCTGTCTTCTACCGCCATGAACTGTTGCCCTTACGCTATGTGTCACACTACCTTGGAGCCAGCTGATTAGGGACAGAAACCTCTACAAACTGTAAGCTAAATAACCCTTTTCCCCTTTAACTTTGATGTCAGGTATTTTGTCTCAGCAGCAAGAAAAGTGACTAAGCCAGTGAAGTTATGAAATGCTTTATATCAGGAAGAAAAGTACTGGGAGACATTCCCAGAGAAAACACACAGCATTTCCAGGTACAGCAAAGGCAGATATTTCAGAAGAAATGAGAAAAGCACAGTGAGTCCAAGAACTATTCCTAGAGAAGAGCATTTAGTGTGAACTTGAGTACATACAGTGTAGGTTCATCTTCCAACTAGTAACGATGGATGTCTGTAAGAGTAGGAGTGCTGCACTGTCCCTGAGAGAGTCCTCCAGCAGCATCAAATGACACAGTCAGGCTTTCAGAGAATGGGCTTGGCCAGTAGATAGGAGCCTCCAAATGCCTGAAAGGTGGAAGAATACTGTTGTTAGATGCAAAAGACTTGTCATTTGCTTAAAACGTTGTACACTGAGCAGACCTACTGAACAAGGGCCAAAGCAATTCCAACAGTGTCATAGATGTGGATGCTGCAATGGAATAATTAAAAAAAATCAGATGTAGAAAACAGACACCGTCCCAAGCAGTGAACATCTTTTCTACCACCATACCCATAAGCTGAGGAATGTGTCACCTCTGCCTTTGACTCGACTCCCTTCTGTAGGTAGTGCTCACCATACTAAGTGAGTGGATTTAAAACGAGCTTAGCAGGCTTTCAAACCTACTGAGCTACTTTAAATGGGCAAGAAATAGCTTTCCATCATCAGAAATAAGGTAGAATTCAAATTTTTAAAAAATCAGAGTATTTCTTTTCAGGAGAATCAAATTGGTGGTTATGAAGTCCATACTTTCTTGAATTGCTACTGAATATGGCTTTTTAGTACTCCTGAATTTCATATTGCAACGTTATCTTGACTCTTCTAGAATCAGAATTTCTAAATATTTTATACATGCCAAGTTATAGATGACAGTAGCTATAGTATTATGATGTTTATCTTCTTCAAAGAGTGGAAGTACGTAATTAGCTATTTAGATTACAAAGGGTGAAAGTTACTCCAAGGGCATAACTGCATTATTTGTACTGGAGAAACACTACGTCTTTTAATTCTGACTGAAATATGGATCCCTAACGCTTTCTAAAAGATCCTTTTCATTGCAGCCTGCTGTGCAGTGAGCACCAGCAGCAGGACACACTTGTCAATGACTTATCACATTTATGATAAGGGAAATGCAATGGAGAGCAGAAGATGTTGCCCTTGTATCTCAGGCAATGGCATATAATTTACACTCAATAGATGTTGACACAGTCTGTTGAGGGACTAGTTATAAATCAGCCTGTCAAAACCTCCAGCTGACTTTCAGTGAATGCTAGTTAAGTCCAATTTAAACACCAAAGTACAAGCTTCCAAAGAGACATGACAGTCAAAAACTGTACAACTACAAAAGACACTGCCACTTTTGAAAGTATTAATACCATGAACAAAGAATAATAGGGAAAATATTTTTTCTGGTAGGATAGAAACTAAATGTCACCCAGAAGAATGTAATAGAGATAATAGTCAAGATTTTGGTAATGAAAGAAGAAAATTATGTAACTAGTTGGACACATGTATGTTAATATTCATAAGAAATAGAAATGCAGTACATTTAATGACATGTAAAAGAATATTTCACTCTCCCTAAAATGTTACTAAAACACTAGGACACTTTAAATCCATGTCATCCATCTTTTATTTGAGCTTATAAGGCAATTTGATTGTTTTTATTTTAAAGAGAATAGTAAAAAAGGAACAGTAGCAAGATATAAACAAAACAAAGCAAGAACATTAAAAATGATACGGGGTTTCAAACCAAATGCTAGGAATTAACACTGGTTGTTATAGTACAGATTGTTATCTTCAATGAAGTTGCACAGATTACCAGATGTAAGAATGGCAGATTGATCAAACCATTAAAGAGACTAAGAAAATAATAATTTAAAAAAACATTAGATAGAATACAGAGCTTCACCAGACAGGATGGTAGGAATTCACCAATGGTTGTTACATTGCATACTTTTGTTTTCATATCTGTCTTGGTTACTTTTCTCTCACTGCTGGGACAAAATACCTGATGCCCAAAATTAAGGAAGGAAAGGTTTATTTCTCTTACAGTTTGTGGAAGTTTCAGTCCATACTTGGCAGGTTACACGGCAGAGTGGCACATGGCAGAGGGCTACAGCTCATGGCGGCAGAACACAGCAAAAGCAACAAGCACAAAAGGGAGGAATGGGGGCAAGCAGCCTCTTCCTCTCCCTTACATATGCAAACTCTCCACCCCAGGGCAGGTGTAGCTCTCACACCCATAATCAATCAAACTCTAAAAGCCTGGTCCATGACCGCATGAGGCTTTGGGGGGACACCCAGACACAAACCATAACAATGTCAGTTGCTCAGATTACAAAATTGGTGAAAATATTAAAAAAGTTAAGCATTAACTGTTCCTTTCAATAAACCACCAGACATCAGCAGTACAATTATCCCATCTATCTATCTATCTATGTATCTATCTGTCATCTATGACCTTAGTTCTTTCTTTTCCTTCTTTCCCTCATCCCAGTTGTTCCTTCCTTTGAACAATTTCTTTCCCTTACACATTACCTATTGTACATTTTGGGTTTTATGTACTCTTTCATGTTCTTACACTAGGGAGACAATATGATGTTTATACATGTGGGTTTAATTTATTTCACTTATGAATATGGTCTCTAGTTGCATCTATTTACCTATAAAAGCCTTAAGTTTATCTTTTTTTATAACTGAGTAATACTCTATTGTATAAAAATACCTTATCTTTTTTATCCATTCCTCAGTTGATAGGCATTTGGGTTGTTTCCAAGATTTAACTATGACAAATTGCACTGCTATAAACATGGGTGCACGTATATTGCTGTGGTATGATGTTTTGAATTTTTCTGGGAAAATACCCAGAAGGGGAATAGCTGGATTAAGTGGGACTTCTTATCCTAGTTTTTTGAGGAATCTTCACACTGACCTCCACAATGGTTTCACCAAGCTACCCTACCACCAGCAGTGGAGAAGGGTTCCTCTTTTCCCACAGCCTCTCCAGCATGGCAATTTGATTTTAAATCAAAGAAATATCAGCTTAGTGAGTTTATATTATGTAAGATATTCATAAGATGCAGGATTTAAGCTCTGTAATACCTGCAGTGTTGACATCAGGTATTATTTTTGCTAGCAGTGTAGCTAGTAAACATGAACAGCAGTTTGCTAAAAATAATTGAACTATTGATTCTCTTATAGGGTTACATTAAAAAAAAGTGTGGTAATCACATTTATATGCCTTATCTTCAGTAGATGCAGCTCTTCTTCTCTTAGATTCTGAGGTATCCAGTACTTTTAGGTGGACTTCATGTAGGTGCTGAGAAAGCCTCACAGGCCACAGCAAAAGGAAAGGAAGGAAGCTTTATTTCCCCTTTCATGTTTTAAAGCTTGTTTGCAGACTTTTTTATTTTTATTATTTTAAAGAGAATAAAAAAATTGCTTAACTCTCTGAAGCTAATTCTGCTTCTTTTAAATTTAAAGGAAAAATAATATGGTTTTTCCTCCTGGGGCCTTTACAGCGATACCTTTTGAATTATCCTCCATGATAAAAATAACAAACTACCTCTTTTAATATAAAGTGGTTTGTAGGGAATTTGGAAACTTTAAGTCTACCCCTTAGGTCACATAAAAAGCACACATATCTTAGAAAAAGGAAAGGAGTTTTTAATTAACATGAAAAAATAGTTTAACAATGACTTTCATATCAACATGAGTACAGGTGTGATCTAGGACTGCTGCTTGTAGTTATGGTTTGGGGCCCACATTCTCCGAGAATTTTGTGGTTTTACCTTCAATATATGGAATAATTTTGCATTTTCTTTTATGTATGTGTGAATGTTGCATTTAGTTTTCCATTTTTACAATTTGCACAGCTCGCTGATATACAATATGAAGTATTTAATTGCCTATTCCTCCAACTATTGAAGTATATACTTTCATTACAGCTTTAAATTAAAGACTTGGGATCAAAGTTATTGCTTTTTTAATATACATAGAACATTATACACTTTGGAGTTTGTAATAAGTAGCAATATCAATGTATCTGCCAACTAAAATTACTTGAGTAGAACATCTCATTATAACTATAGAATGCCTACAGTATCTCCCTTGGGAGGTACTACAAGTACTCAGTGTTATTAAACTTATATTAACATCCCAAAACTATACCTTGATTAAAAGTGTATACTTTAGATAATAGTAAATGTGAAATATTTCTGTGGGTTTTGTAAGCTGAATTTTTTTAGCAGTAGGACAATTTACTGGAGAAAAGGAATGGGAAATAGAAATGGGGGGAATAGGAATAGCTTCTGAGAGACAGGAGGGGTCCAGAATGGGTTGCCAATGAACCCACCTCAAAGGAACTTTTATAGAGCAATCTTGATCATAATCTTGATCATAATCTTGATGCATGTTGTACCCACCCCATGACTTTGCTATGTAAGTTTAGTTTTTAATCGACCTTTTGAAAGAACAACAATTTGCCTTTAGCTCATATATATAAAAATCTCGATTCTGGACACAATGAAAAATATTTCCATTTCCATTACCTTACTTTGTGGAGATGATTTAGCCTCCAGAATTGATAGAAACTTTAGTATCTAGTATTAACTAAGATGATGATTATCTATGAAAGATATTACTTTGTGTGGAATTGGGTTTTATATCCTTTAACAAATATAAATTTTACCTAAATGTACCAGTAAACTCAGTGCCTATGCAGTTATCATTAAGTTAGATTTCCAGTTGTACTCTTTGCAATCCAGCTCTATATACATTAGGGTGTATATGGGATTTAATTCCATCAATTTTGATCAAATTAATGACCAGATATTGTAGGTATAAAAATGAATTGGAAATTGATTCCGACTAGTAACCTATGATACTATACATGTTATGCTTTGGGGATTTTTGCAAGGGGAAACAATATAATACAGGAGACATATTGTATAAGATTGTTTATAGTAGTCACCCAAAGGGTGATATACACAAGAATGCAGGAATCCTGTCTACACACTAAGACCAAGGAATCTAACCGAGGGCCTGGGATCCTAGTGAAATGTCCTGCATGAGTCCATCTGAAGACCTAGAGCCCATAATAGTGCCTCCTATGAATCCAACTTGAGACCTAGAGCCTATAACAATATCTCATGCAGGGCTGCTTCACATATCTGTGCTGGGAGGCCCAAAGGTCAGTGGTGGAATCTGGAAAGTGTGTGCCAATGGGATAAAGGATCTGTGCTAACAGGCTGAGGGATCTGCACTGGAACCAAGAAGCAATGCACAAAGTAACAACCA